ATAGTAGATATACGATTTTCATTTAGATTGATATGTGTAGCTGTAGACATACGTATATCATATATCAGCGCAAACTATCACCTACTGTATTACTAACTAATATCAAAATTAACTGCAGATTCCTCCAAGTCTATTAGCTTTTGTATTAATTACAATAATATTTCGATATAAATTATCTCTATCTTTCTGCTGGTTGCTTATTTAGATCGGTACGGTACTATCTCACGCTGAGAATTGAATTTGAGATGACTTAATTATGATAAGAATAATTAATTTAGATTATGTAGTATGGGACTGAATTCCAGGTTGCAAATTAAAATATTTCTCCTTATTGTGCTTGGCGTTTCGTAATATTGTCAAAGTTAAAATATTTCGCATTTTTGTGAAGTTCAGTTTTTTAATTTTGAACAGAAATTTTGTCTATCAAGCTTCTTGATTTGTTTATTAGATTGTAATTAGGTACTATATTCAAATGTCAATAATATTTCAAAAAGTCAATCTTTATAATATATTATGGTATTTTTTGTGAAGCTATAAACAAAATTTTGACTTTAGTACAAATGAATTTACGAAATTTTTATAAGAAGGCTAACTTCAATCATGTTTCAACTATTAGATTAAAAGCTTTGAAATTTTATTATAAAATATTATAGTAATAATAAAATTTTAATTCGAATGAAGTAGAACGGTTATACAAATGATGAGTTTTTAAAACATTTTTTTATATTTTAAATATTTAACATTTTTATATGTTTGAAATATTTATATAAATTGCTAAAATTAAACCTTGAAAATTAAAAACTAGTCATTTTGAAAACTATTATTTCACAATTAATTATTTTTTAGAAAAAGTGCGATGTAACAATTTACTCTGTATTTTGAGCTGGTTTTTCTACCAACCACCAAAATACAATAATGCGTCTGATAATTCTTTACTTAAGAATATCGCCTTGTTTCTAAGTAATTATTTTCGTACATCAATGCAAGCTATAATTAATACAAATAAAACATAGTGTTCTGTCATATAATTTGTTATCATAAGTCAACGTGAACTAAAATTCTATATCCAATTTTTTAGCCCCAAGGCTTTGTTTCAAGTAACATCAGGTGTAATTATCTTAAATTATTAACAGACAACTATCTAAACAATTTACCAATCACAATAATTGTAACACATTATCAAAGAGTGAAATGAGATATATAAAATTTAAAGTGAGTTGATAATAATAATGTAATGCCTATTGAAAAACGTCTGTTACTACTTTTTGCTACAATAAGCCCATTGCTATCCTTCTAGTTACATGTTCTATAAAAGTATTCTCACATATATTTCATATTGATAAATTTTGGATCTTCTATGCAAAAATTCTATCAGAATTATTTTTCAAAATATAATTTAATCAGCAGGAAAACAGATATGTGTTATGTTACTTTTGAGAAAGGTTTTCATTAACAGTCCATAACCTCTGACATTCAACTAAAATACGCGTGGGTTGTATATGGGTGTGCAAGAAAGAAAATATTAATCATTTCTTATAAATTAATTAATGTTTTATTATATACTTAATTACCTTGGATATGATATTTTTAAAAATAACATAGCAATTTGTGTAAATTAGCGCAAGTAATTAAACTTAAAATACATTTTATTAATCATTATATAATAATGAAACATCAAACCGTAAATAGACTTTGTAAGCTTAATATTACATCTCTTCAATGTTCTTTATTAAAAAATATATAAATATAACGGTGTTAAATGCGTTTCACTTTCCCGTTGGGAATCTTTATTATTCATTTTGTGAAAGTTCATTTAATATCATTTCACATCACAAATTGTAACAGCTATTCTACTTCAATTTCTACTAATGATTTACTCTTGTTATTAATATATTATTATGATAATTAACATCATTAGAGAGAGTGTTAAACTAGTTTCATTTCAAGAAATGGAAATGTATTGAATTTTTTTTGCAAATAATGCGAATTTATATTGACTAATGTGATTGATGAAAATAATAGCAACTGTAAATTTTCTAAATCGATGTACCACATATAATTGATAAAAAATAAAAAAAAGTGTTACATCAAGTAATTTAATTTTTTTATCAAGCAAAACCAGCTATTTTTCATATATTACGAAATTATGTAGGTATAAGTACTTTAATGTTGCATAGATGTTAAAATGTGATATAAAAAGGAAAAATGATTTGCAGTATTAAGACAATTTAACATTTATTACTCCAAGTTAATATTGAATATTTATAAAACCAAATACGAATATTTATAAAAAGACTTGAATTGCTTGGATACAATGTTTTTTTAAGTTTAACTTAAATTTTTCATTTCAACCATCAAAAAACTAGCAAATAATCTTAAAAAAGAATACTATTATTTACACAGTTTCTATTTATAATATTTGAAAAACACTAAACGAACACTTTCAATTTTATGTAAATATATTATAATACCATATAATACTAGTACCATGTACAATACCAATATAAATACATTATAATGACGTTTATAATACAAATACCATTTATCATAGAAACTAAAAAGACACAATCCTATAGAGACTGATTTCAGAAAAACATTTGAATTATCTAAATTACGGGGATAATTCTGCCGTAAAATAGACCAAAATGTTATCTGTTTATTTAAGATGGTACTAATAACTGTCAAAATGCTATGTATTTAAATGTAACTTCACTCATATGTTATTAAGACACATGGGAAAGGTGCGATTTTTTTTTACCTTTGAGTGATTTCTAGTTTAGGCTTTATATTTAAACGCTTGACAGCACAACAACCACCCAGTATTTTGTCAATTTTTGGTATCATTTTATATGAAAAATGACACGTAACCCAGCCTTACTATAACATTGCCCTTAAATCTCAAAATTCGTTTATTCGAACAAGCTTCAAACATAAATATGTCTATTATAT